CGCTTATTCATTCACCATCTTGTTGGCGTGCAAGCGCCGACGAAGTCTCGAGAACGTTGGGTTTCGTACCTGAGCGCCTGCGCCCACATGGCGAGCTTATCGCCCGCCACCATCAGTCGCGGGCGCTCCCCGTCGCTCACTTATACCGACGTTCGTGTCGACCAGTGCCTCAGTCTTTTCCCCACTGAGGCACTGGTGAGCCCTCTAGATATTCTATGCTGTATGCCCATATGTACTGACCATGTCCTCGCCATGTAGATTACATTAGGTACCTAGTTATACAATACTTAGTCTTTTCCCCACTGAGGCACTGATTACATTAGATCCTACCGTAGTCGGCTCGTAACCCCGTTGATAGGTTATGAGCCCTGCCGCTCACACACACCATGGCCGACATCCACAAGATTGTACGCGACCCCCTATCGCAAACCGAGGCCACTACGAGCTCGAAGATCCCGGCGCTCAACGAGGACGGCTCAAATTGGGTCCTATATAAGGCCCAGTTCTTAGCCGCCGTTTACGCGAAGGGCCTCCGGCGGTACCTCGAGGGTACGGAGCGCGTTCCGCAAGCGCCCACGGCTCCTGGTGTGGACTCCGACGCCGACGAACGGTACGAGACGGCGGTCGACAAGTGGCTGGGCAACCACTCGACCATCAAGACACTCCTTTTCCAGACGGTTCCCGAGTCCCTCAAGCTCGACATCGCCACCAAGAGCCGTGCCAACGAGGCATGGGCGCTTGTATCTGCCAAGTATGACAACCAAGGCGACTTCGTTCAGGTCAACATCCTCAACCGCATGCACCAGCTCCGATGCGAGGAGGGAGGCGACCCCCGACCGGTCCTCACCCAGCTTGCACGACTTCGCTCAGAGTACGCGACGGCCGGTGGTACGCTCTCGGACGAGCAGTACAAGGTCTTCATCCTCGGCATCCTCCCGCTCTCTTACCGTCCCTCTATCCGCGCCATTCAAGCCTCCGCCCACTCCACTGGCGTCACCCTCACTCCAACAGCCCTCATCAATGCCATCACCGAGATCGCGCGTGATGAAGTGGCGCTCAACGGTGACGACTCCTCGAACCCAACGGCAATGGCGGCGCGCGGCGGCACTATCAAGTGCTTCAACTGCAACAAGGAGGGCCACACGAAAGCGGAGTGCTGGAGCAAGGGCGGCGGACGAGAAGGCCAGGGACCGAAACGTCGGAAGAAGGGCAAGGGCAAAGGGAATGATCCGAAGAGTCAGTCGGAGAGTGGTGGGAACTCGAATAGCGAGAGCGCAAAGTCCGCCGTAACACCTAATGTACCCGGCGTTGACAATGCGGATCACCTTGCAGCGTATACTTTCTGGGGAGAGTCAGCGTACATTGTCGCGACCGATTTCTCGAAGGTTTCCGCGCAGCGTCTGCCGCTCGACCGCTACACTCGCCTTATCGACTCCGCCGCCTCACGTCACTTTGACCCATGTCGCGAAAACTTCATTGCGTTCCGCAAAATCGAGCCTATCCCGATTCAGTCCGCCGATGGCCGAATTTTTCACGCTACGGGTGAGGGAGACGTCCGTGTTACCTTACGCTACGGTACACAGAACCTCGACGAGTTTACACTACGTCGCGTCCTCTATGCCCCAGCCATGCCCGTCTCGCTCATTTCCGTCAGTTGCCTCGTAAACTCAGGGTTCCAGCTGTCCTTCTCCCAAGACGGCTGCTGCATCACCACACCCGCTGGCAACCCGCTTCGACCCATAACGCAACGTAACGGCCTTTTCCCGCTGCACGGTGTGCAACCCGTCACGACTCCACAGGCGCCCCGGACAGCTGCCGTGGCAATGTCGGACCTCGAGTTCCACCGGCGGATGGGACACGCGTACCCGCCGAACCTGCGCAAGATGGTGGCCGAGGGTGTCGTCACCGGCATCGAGCTCGACGCGACGACCGAGGTTCGATTTTGCGAGGTCTGCCAGCAAGCGAAGCAGACCCGCGAATCGTTCCCGAAAGCTCGCTCGAGCCCTCCTGCAAAGCGATATGGTGAGCGTGTGCACAGCGACGTCTGGGGGAAGGCACAAGTGCGCACCTGGGACGGGAAGGAATATTTTGTTACCTTCCTGGACGACTACTCGGACGAAGCCGTTGTCTCGCTCATGCGAAACAAGAGTGACGCCCTCACCCGGTACAGAGCGTACGAGGCGTGGGGGAAGGCCCATCGCGGCGTCGCCTCCATCGGGACCCTACAAAGTGACCGCGGCGGTGAGTACACCAGCCATGAGTTCACGGCTCACCTGGAGTCCGAGGGGACAGATCGCCGCCTCACCGTCCACGACTCGCCGCAGCAGAACGGCAAGGCGGAGCGGTTAAACCGCACCCTGGCCGAACACGCGCGAGCCCTGCTTTTCGACGCCCGCCTGCCAAAATTTTTGTGGGGCGAGGCCGTCTTGCACGCTACGTGGCTCCGTAATCGAACGTCGACCAAGAATACACCTGGATCGACGCCGCACGAATTAGCTACGGGCGTGAAACCAGATTTGTCAAACTTACCGCGCTTTGGGGCGACGGTGTGGGTGCTGCAAGAAAACGTAAGGAAGCTCGATCCCAAGTCGAAGCCCGGACGTTGGGTGGGTTTCGACCAGGAGAGCAAGGGGCACCGTGTCTACTGGCCTGAACGGCGCACCGTCTCCGTCGAGCGGAATGTCCGCTTCGAACAGGAGGACGGGGCCGTCGTCACGGTTCACGCTGAGGCCGAGGGGGAGCACGTACCTCAAGGCGGCCTTAGCCCTCCCGCTCCTCCTACCCCTCCCGCTGACCCTCACCCTGACCCTAGCCAAACAGCGGTTCAGCCCACAGATCCAACCCCTCAGCCTCCGGACCCTCCTTCCGACCCTACACCGCCGCCCGAGTCGCCCGATGAGCCGTCCGAGTCGCCCGTAGCCCCAGAGCAGCCAAGAGCCGAGCCAAGTGCCGAGCCTAGCGCGCCTGAGGGGGAGCAGACCGGCCGACCGAGGAGGACGCGGAAGCCGGCCAAATGGATCCGCGACCTGCAGACCGGAGCGGGCACCACTGGCGGAAGGGGTGCGCAGCGCGTCCCGAGGTCGCTCCTAGAAGACGCGGCGCACGTCGCGGCGGCTCCGGGCAGCTGCCGTGGCAACGACGCACACGGCGCGCCGTCGATCTTCGGAGACCCAGCGCGCTTTGCAGCGCCTCTTGAGGACAAGAGAGAGCTTGAGGAGGAGAGCCAAGGGGAGAGCCAGGGGGAGAGAGACGTAGGGGAGGAGGAAGAGCATGAGCAAGAGGGTGGCTATGCCGACAGCGCAGACGTTGACGCCGGCGCTTGTCTAAGCGCCCCCATCTTTGCTCTTGCCGCCCTCAGCTCGGACGACGAGCCCACCTACCGCGAGGCCATGGCCGGCCAGGAGCGCGAGAAGTGGAAGGATGCGATGGCTGAGGAACTGGACCGCATCGCCAAGATGAACACCTACGAGCTGGTCGAAGCCCCGCCCGGCGCAAACGTCGTTGGCTCGGTTTGGGCACTACGCAAAAAACGCGACGAGCACAACAACGTCGCCAAATTCAAGGCTCGACTATGTGCTCAAGGCTTCTCCCAGGTCCCCGGTGTCGATTTCGACAAGACCGCTTCACCCACCGCCCGTCTCTCCTCGTTCCGCCTCGTCCTCGCCCTCGCGGCCGCCCAGGACTGGGAAATCCATCAAATTGATTTCAAGAACGCCTACCTCAACGGGGACCTCGAGGAAACCATTTACATGCGTCAGCCCTCCGGATTCGAGGCCCCGGGTAAGACGCACCTCGTCTGGAGGCTCAAGAAGGCCCTTTACGGCCTCAAACAAGCCGGCCTCCAGTGGTACAAGAAGGTCTGCGCCCTCATGGACGACATTGGCCTCACCCGCAGCAGTTTCGACCCAGGCGTCTTCTATCACCTACAAGGCGGTGCGGTCATTATCATTGTCATTCATGTTGACGATTGCACCCTAGTTACCAATAGCACTCGCCTAATGCAAGCTCTCAAGGACCAGCTTGCATCGCGCTACGAAATTGTCGATCTTGGCGAAATCTGCTGGCTACTGGGCCTCGAAATCCGCCGTGATCGCTCCGCCCGCACCATCTCTCTATCTCAGTCCGCCTACATCGACACCCTGCTTACCCGGTTTTCAATGTCGGACGCACACCCGCTCACAGTCCCTTTCGATCCCCATTCGAACCCTTTCGACTACTCCCTTGACGATGAAATCCAGGAGGAAATGCGCAAGAAGCCGTACGCCCGGCTCATCGGGTCTCTCATGTACGCGGCGATCGGTACACGCCCCGATATCGCCTTCGGTGTCTCAACCCTGGCGCGCTTTATGGCGAATCCCGCACCCATCCATTGGGAAGCCGCAAAGCGCATCCTGCGCTACCTCAAGGGGACCCGAGAGTACGTTCTCACTCTTGGATCTACGTCTGACGGGTTAGTTGGTTACACAGACGCCGACTGGGCTTCGCAACCCCATCGGCACTCAATTTCGGGCTATGTCTTCCTGTTCAATGGAGGTGCTGTCAGCTGGCGATCATCCAAGCAGCCCATCATCGCACTCTCTTCCACCGAAGCGGAGTACATTGCTGCCTCCGATTCGTCCCGTGAAGCCGTCTGGCTCCGCAGCCTCCTATCAGAACTTACGGCTCTGTTAGCGGCCCCGACCCTTCTCCTCTGCGACAACCAGAGCGCTCTCAAGCTCGTCGACAATCCCGACATCTTCCACGCTCGCACGAAGCATATCGACATTCGCTATCACCACATTCGCGAGCTTGTTGTGCAACGTAGTATGATCCTCCGCTACTGTCCAACCAACGAGATGGTGGCCGACTTGCTCACGAAGGCGCTCCCTCGTCCCCGGGTCAAGATGCTCGCTTTCGCTCTCGGCCTTCGTCAGGCTTGAGGGGGAGTGTTGGCGTGCAAGCGCCGACGAAGTCTCGAGAACGTTGGGTTTCGTACCTGAGCGCCTGCGCCCACATGGCGAGCTTATCGCCCGCCACCATCAGTCGCGGGCGCTCCCCGTGCTCACTTATACCGACGTTCGTGTCGACCAGTGCCT